AGCTACAGGACAGATTAGCTTTTATACAGACAGGAAAAGATCTGTATGCTGTATTAACCACTGATATTTGCGCAGATATTTAAAACATTTACAGAGTTCAACACACATTTAGAGAAGAACACTAGGGCGATGGTAATGTCATGCTAACATTTGCACAACCTGGGGAAAGTAAACCTGCCTGACTCCTGAAAATCATTCAGGAGTCTTTTTACTGAATTCCACAGTCACTGTGAATTAGTGACTGTGGTTTGCAGTATAAAGAAAAAGCACCTTTTAGCAAAAAGAGCTGTGTCAGTATCAGCCATTTAAACTCTGCTTTATTAGTATTCGTTTAGGTATTTATACTTGAGTATTTCCATTTTAAGCTGTTCTGTAAGTGTAATAAAAATATTAATCTTGTAAAGCTTTTAGTTTTTATACTTTTGCTGATAGTACTTTTTAAACTCGAGCAACATTTACTTTCATGGATGCACGGGATCTGACTGATCTGTCTTACATTAAAATGCTTTAATAATGCTAGAATAATAAGATATCCTGGTCTGAATATCTAAAAATAATCCAGCCTCCAGCTGAACTCATTTCAAATGTTCTTCCTTTTGCTGTTACTTTTGGCCCAGAAGTTAAATCATTTTTTCTTCCTTTAAGCAGTTCTTTTTTCTTTTCACTTTGGCTGCTGCATCGTGCCCAGTGGAAATTCTGTTAACCAGTTTATTTGTGGCAGCAGGGCTCCCTAATTACTCGCGATCAAGCAGCTTCACTGGAGCCGTACGGCGGCGTGTCGATGCCAAAACAGCCGAACGCCAAAGGAAGTTTCTGTGCTCAGAACAAGCACCGCGTGCAGAATCTTAATGTTGATATGACGTTTTAACCAGCGTGATCTAAAGATGTGTTAGTCTGTGACTTCAGAGCGACCAACATTGACTTGCAAATGAAGCGGGAATGGAAACTAGCATCGCTTTAACTGGTGTGAACAGGTGATTTGTCCCTTTGAGTCATTTAAAAGACCAAAGACTCTCTGGGGGTTAAAGGAAGCATGTCCGCTGACAGCCTGAGTAAATGGCTCCATAGTGGCTGTGATGCACATGGCTCAGCCCTTATGGAGATGCATCTGAATGATGCGCCTGAGGATGGACTGTCATAATATGCAGCTTTCTTGTGTTTGTCTGATTTCACGCTCGCATTCTTTCGTGTGAAGTTTCGCCTGAAGCTCAGAACACTGTGTTTCAAATGAAGACCTTCAAATTGTGATCATTCATCACTGGGAGGAAAGTTGCACAGAGAAAGAAAAGAAATGAGCATGAACGTGTGTGATACTCTGAACATTTATGGAAATCATAGAGTCACCATCAACTCTGCAGGTTTGCATTCGGATCTGTTCTGGAAACTGAATATGTTCTGCAGATGTGCACTTGCTGTTGCTGGTCTTGCTTGCCCTTACATGCTATCAATGTCTAAAGTAGTGGTTCCACGGTGGGCGACCGTGGCTCAGGGGGTTGGGAAGCGTATCTGTAACCGGAAGGTCGCCGGTTCGATCCC